AACCATCTAGTTCTGGTCTCAGGGTGGTGGACCCTGATGTTCGCATGGTCTGTGAGTCCACTGGACTCATGGCTTCCACGTGTCTTAGGTTTTCGTCCACCTTTTTCCTCTGCATGGAGGGATCCAGAGGTGCCCTAGAGGGTGGCTCACAGCGTTAAAGACTGCAGTCGTTGCTCACATCGAAGTAGGATCTACAGCATTTGTCTTTTGTGGATGGGTGTGCCAGTTGACCTCGGGGTCCCCTGTGACCACCTTCCTGAGCCTCCAGCTCTCAGGAACCTTCCCCAGGTGTCTGGTTCTATTTGTGGAGTGTTCTTGACAAGGCTGTAAGTTTGGGCTTCACCTGCGAGTCCGCTTCGTTTTTGGCGAGCAGGGCTGGGTCATCCCAAGGCTGCAGGTGGTGAAGGAGCCTTCCTCTGGTCCTCCTGCTGTTTTCCCCTCCACGATCCCAGCTCCTCAAGTTCTCGGCCGAGCTGATGGCCTGAAGAAGGACGGTGGCGGGACACCACCCTGACGCACGCCATTCTTGACTCAAACAGGTAGCATCTCCCTAGGACCTTCCTGGTCTCTGGACAGGCTCCTCATGAGAACACCGAGTGTCCTGGAGCGCCCGTTCCTCGTGAAGTCCGTGTGCTACGATCCGCACAGTCGAACGCTTCTGCAGCACCAATAAACACAGGCGTTCTCTGCTTTCAGCCAAGAGCCATCTGACACCAGCACGCCATCGCATGTCCCAGGTCCTCTTCTGGATCTGACTTGGCTTTCTGCCGGGTCCCTGTCCACTTGCCCCGGTGCCCCGCTGTGCTCTGTTTGGCAGCGAGCATCTGCCACGTTTGACATGAGGGAGCTAAAGGCCCACCAAACGACGCCACGAGAAAACGGAGGAGACCTGGGACACCTCCTCACACACACACACACACAGACACGCTGGGCGAGGCCGGCCCACCTACCCGCCTTGAAGCTCAGCTCGTCCTGCTCCTGCCCCTCATAGTCGTACAGGGCCCGCACCCGCACCCCTGGCACCGACGTGGCGTCCTCCTCGAAGGGGTTGGAGTCCCCATTGGCGTCCGTGGAGGAGAACGGGTTGTTCGGCTCATCGTCCGACCAGTCCGCGGGGTAGGGCTGGGTCTTCTCGTAGCTGCTCATGCTGTGAGAAAACAGTGGACATGGGCAGCTCAGCCAGGGGCTACCCGGGGGCACGAGGCCCCCCTGAAGGGGCGGGCGCAGCAGCCCCAGGTGAAGACCCAAGACCCTTGCGAAGGGGCCGAGCCGCTCTGCATCCCGGCTGTGAGCAGGTGCGCTGTGGGGGGAGCCGAGCCCGGTGCAGGGAGATGCCCCCAGCAGGACTTGCTTGGGGCACCCACAGGCTGCTGTCCTCCCGAGGTGCAGGGCCAGGGCCTTGGCGGGGGTATGTGCAGGCAGAGAGACAGAGCGCCAGCACAGTGTTAGTGGTGCCCCCCTCCACCCCCTAAGAAGCCCCGGCTGTGAGCCCCCACGGCTGAGCGCCCTGGACTCGGAGAGCGAGCGAGGGGGTGAAGCATCCGTTCACCAACTTTTTGGCCTTCGCGTCCTCCTTCTCGCTGACGGTGCTGCCCGTGTCGTCCTCCTCCTCGAAGGGGTTGTAGCTGGACTGGGAGGACTGGGTGGGGTTGCTGGCGCCGCTATGGCTGCTGGGGGTGGTGGGGGAGAGAAAGAGGAGCTTTCAGGGCCACTCCACGGGGAGCCTCTGCGCCGTGGGGCGGACGAGTCCCGTGCAGCAAGCACTCTGGGTGGCAGACAAGCGGCCGGGCCTGCAAGAAAACCAGATCCCCAGGTTCCCATCCACCGGCCGCGGCCCCGGGCCGAGCTCTCTGGACCCTGAAGTGCTGTCAGCAGCCTGTCAGCGGGGACCAGCAGAGTCCTCTCTGGAGGGAGAAAGGCACCCGCATGCAGCACGGCACAGAGAGCGTGTCCAGGCAACTCATCCACGAGTGCCCACTGTGTGCCCACCGGGCTGGCTGGAACGGAGAGGCAGCGCTGTGTCCTGCTGGAGGGAGAGGAAGCCCCCAGACCGCCTGTGGGGGGAGACCACCAGGCCCTCCTCCCTCGGGGTGCTTTCCTGGCAGACGCTGGTGCTGGGCCTGACCACTAGGTGGTGCTGGGTGGCCCTGTGCGCAGGCCTTGTGCTAGTCAAGCTGGCCCTTGTCGCCCAGGGAACCAGGCCTGTGGGCAGAGAGGGCTTCCAGGAAGTGGCCGTGGAGGGCTGAGTTCCGGAAGGCAGAGAGAGGCCTCGCCCAGCACATACTTTCCAGAAGGTTCTATGGTGCCCCCCTGACCCCCCCATCCCCGCTTATTCCATCCAGAAACCCTTTCATCAGCGAACCACGAGGCTGGACATCACCAACAAGCTCGGTCATGAGGCGGCCCATGACCCTGCCCTGCTCTGTCCTGCTCAGGCACCTGTACTGTGGGCAGCACAGCAGGTAGGGGCAGACCTTCAGGACCCTAGACTGTGCATGGAGGGACTCCCTCAGGGCAGCCATCACCACCTGGTACAAGCTCGACCCTAGACTGTGCATGGAGGGACTCCCTCAGGGCAGCCATCACCACCTGGTACAAGCTCGACATGCCTGGGCCTGGTGTATGGACGCAGCTTGGAGCCAGGCAAAAAGGCGAGCCTCCCCAGAGACTCCCGGGGGCTGCAGCCCACCCCCCAAGTCCGACGCCCAGGAAACTTCCGGGAGGCTGCCTCTGGGCTCCTGCAGGGCACCATGGGCGGCTCCCAGGTGCCTGCCTGTGGGGCTCACCTGCTGTGCTTGTTCTGCAGGGGCTGGTCGCCCGTTTGGTTGATGCCCGTCAGGGTGACGCCGTCAGCCGCCTTCTTCTTCTCTCGCCGGCTCAGCGTCCGGTTCAGGTCTGCGGACCACTCCTGGGCGACAGGTACCGGGGAGAGAAGTTGGGAAGTTGATGTGCTGGAAGCACATGTGTGTAGGACACAGGCCAGCCACCCTGCTGCCGGCCTGGCTGGGGATGCTGAGCCCCACGTCTAAGCCCCACGTCTTGGTCCGTCGCCCAGCAGACCTCGGGCCTCAGGCACCCACTACCCCTCTAACTGACCGCAACACCTGAAGCCTCCTCACTGGCCAAGAGAGCCCCCCCTCCCCCAGCCCTTGGAGGTGCAGGCTCTGACCCGGGGCAGTGCATGGTGGACACCAGTCCTACACCCGCGCCCAGGGGCTCGGAGGCTCCGCAGGCCAGGCCAGTGGGCGCTGCTGTGGCTGTGGCAGCCAGAGTCCCTCGGGCCTCCAGGGGACAGAGCAGCCCCCTCAGGAGCTGGGGGGGGCAGCAGCAGCCTTGGCCTCACATACTGAAGGGCTTCTCCACTTGTGCCCTTTGTCCCTGACTGAGCAAGGGCTGCAGCTAACGCCAGGCCTCAGTCATTCCAGCCCAGGGAAGCCCACTCGCAAGAGCCAGCCTAGAACCCCATGTGCCCACCTAGAGGTGGGGCCGCCTGAGCTCCTGCGGGCACACTCAGGTCGCCTAACATCTAGAGCTGGTCTCCCGACAGAGCCCAGTTGGCGAAGGAAACTAGAGTGCCCACGGTGGGCTCCCAAGCCTGACAGTGACCCACACCAGGGCCACCTGAAGGAAGGGTTGCTGGTAACCCCAGAGCTGTGGAGGAACACCGGCTAGCCGGCACACAGACAAATGCAACTAACCCACTCACTCACAACCACCACGCTGGGGGCCCACCAGTAACACCTACACACACGTTATACACCAGGCTGAGAAACACCCCCCCCACACACACACACACCCCACACCAGGCTGAAAAACACCCCACACACACACACACCCCACACCAGGCTGAGAAACACCCCCCACACACACACACACACACTCATGCAGGCACTGGGGGCTCAGTGAGTTGGCTATGAAACAGAAACTTACTTCGTCCTTGCAGCATGGAAAAAAGCAACAACTTTGTCAGAGAAGTCACACAGGCCCTGCTCGCTCAGGTGAGGCCAGCCCTCCAAGCACCAGCAGCACTACAGGGGACCCCGCCCCGCTCTCCAGAGCACCTGCCACGGACCCCAGCTGTGTGCACGATAGAGGGGGCCCAAGCCCAAGGCCTCTCTTACTCAGGGGGCCTGGCCCTGCAGGCAGATAAGGGGTTACAGGGGCCCCCAATGTCACCTGGAGAGCGCGGGGGTGGCAGACCTGCAGGCGAGGGAACCACGAAGGGTCCCGAGGGGTGGGCTTAACAACAGCTGCCACGTCTGCCCAGGCCATGTGCTGCCGCCACCCCTGCTTAGTCACAACAGGGCGGAGGCTCTGCCTCAGCGAGGCACAGCTGGGGGGTGACCCCACACAGCACCCGTAGGCCGCCTGGCTCCGACCCACAGAGCCCCTCCCCACACTGACCCGCCCCTTCCTGCGGAGACCACAGCTGGGCAGGTGGCCTGGTAACCCAGCCTGAGGCTGAGAGAGCCCCGTGGGGTGTCAGCCCTTGCATTTTGAAGGACAGGATGCTGGTCGGTCCAGAGCCACAGAGACAGACAAGAGCTCATTCCGCAGCCAAACTGCCTGGAGGTACTGACTGACCCCAGGGAGCCCGGGTGGGGGGTACAGAGGACACACATGGGGCCGCCCCCACCAGTGGCCACCAGGGCCAGTGTGCACGGCAGCCTCTCCCGTGTCCATAGTTGGACACACTCAGTTGCCACTCCCACCAGGCTTAGGGACCTGGCTGTGATACCTGGGACCCCAGGGCCTGTGGACACCCACATGGCTGGACAGGCTGCCCGCTCTGCGTCTGGTGTGAACACCCATGTGGCTGGTGGACAGGCTGCCCGTTCCACATCTGGGACATTCAGAAAGACCGTCCCAAGGAAGTTCCATGGGCCCTGTGGCTCTTACCTCAAACTGCGGCCAGTTCATGGACATGCCCGGCCCGTGATTGGCTCGGAACCACCTGAGGTCCTCTACAGCGTCTGCCACCTTGATGCTCTGCTCCAGGTCTCGGTAGATGTTTCTGTAGCTGTACCAGAGGGAGGCGGGAGCTGCCATCACTCACCCTGGCCCCCCGCCGGCCACCAGCAGGCACCAGGGCCCACAGCCCCCCACAGGGGGGTTGTCAGTTGGCCCTGATGTGCACAGAAGGGGACAGGTGGACACTGTGCAGGAAACCCTGTTCCTGACTGAGTCATTTTAAATGAAACCAGAGGAGGCCGAGCAAGCTTTGCTCCTGGTCGGCAAGCCCACAGGAGCCACGGCAAGGCCACAGAGCACCTTGATCCACAGAAGGGTCTGGATCCAAAGGGAGGGGAACACAGAACATGGCGCAAGATGGTGTCCTGTACAGGCCGGGGGCCGGGTCTGCCTGACTGCAGAATGGGCTTGATTTGGGGAAGCTAGGGGTGCAGACCCACTGAGGCCTGTGGGATGAGGTTGGTGGTGGCGCAGCATGCCCACGGGCATTTGTCAGCATTGCTGGTGGAGGAGCTTTGTCACGCACCCTGCCCACGCAGGGCAGAGGCCGAGGGGCAGTGTGGCAGAGAGAGCTGAGGACCGTGAGGGGCATGCCTGAGGGTACCACTGAGAAGGCAGGCCCTGCTGGCCCAAGAGCGGTATCCCGGGCACTTGGGGTCCGGGGTTGTCAGCGTCTCACAGACCCCACGGTTTAAGTTTTGTCTGTGCGATTGCTTTAACAGCTGTGGGTGTCCCGGGTGGGACGGTGGGTATCACAGCCATACAGGAGAGCGCCGCCCGCCTGTCTGCCCTGGGCTTTGGCCCATGGTGGAGCTGGGCTCACCCTGCCCTGGGTGATGCAGGACGCCGCCCAGCCTGTTCCTCCCACTGGCTGCCTGGGCCACGCTGGTCAGCGCCAAAGGGACGTACCTGGGCACGGTGGACAGGTCCAGGTGCTTCTGGACCTCCAGCAGAACCTCCCGGAAGAACCGCAGGCGCTTCTCCTCGGACTGCTGGCACTGCTCGAACACCTGCTCCATGTTCTCCATGTACTGAGGTGTGCCTGCGTCCAGCTCCGTCAGCGCCTTCTCGTACTTCTCCTTGGTCTGCGGGAGGCAGGCAGCGCAGGGCAGGTGAGCTCCCGCGCGGGCCAGGGGCCAAGTCTGGGGGGGGAGGGGGGGAACGCACGCACGCACGCAGGGTCTTCAGAGAGGTGTGGTGAGGGCAGGGGGGCTGGAGGAGGGGTCCCGAGGCCTCAGAGGGGGGACTTGGCCCACGGCAGCGGGAGTTGTGAGGGGGTAGAAGGAGAACCAGGGGACAAGACATCACAGGAGCGCCAATGGCACTCAGGGTGTCTGGGGGGCAGGGTGAGAGGAGTTCAAGGGCAGGGCAGGCAGAGTGAGGGAAGTTAACCTCTCAGACGCTGCAGGGCTGCGGGCTGCACTCTTGGCCTGCTGAGCAGTCTGTCTGTTAGTGTGAAGCACCGGCCAAGCGTGTGCGCAGACAGATGTGGCTTAGTTAACCTGGGTCACCAGGAGCCCTGGTGGGGCAGAGGGTCAGCGTTGGGCTGTTAATGGCAAGGTCAGCCTTTTCCGCCGTCCAATCACTCAATCTGAGAGAGAGCGAGGGGGTGGCCGCTCTGGAGAGATTTACGGGCTCAGGAACCCCAAGGAGAGATTCTACTCTGTCCTACGGGGTTCCTGTGAGTCTAACGGGGTAAAGAGAGTGATCACTAACTGCCAGCGCCTGGGTTTAAAACCAGTGTCCTTGTTCACTCAGATGGTAGGACCGGGAGCAGGAAGTGGGACCAGCCGGCCAAGTGGTGAGTGGGCCCTCTGGTGCCTGCCTGGCCCGCTGACCCACTGTGGCTGTAAGCTGAGTCCTGGGGGATGTGGCTATCGCTCCTCCGGCTGTTTCTGGTCAGTGTCCCCTCCTGCTCTGTACCCCATGTCCAGCCGCCTGTCCACATCATTCTGTGTCGGGAGCCACCACTTGTCTGTCAGTCTGTCCCACTGTGGTGGCGTGTGTGTGTCTGTGACGCTGGAAGCTATGACCTGGTGTTTCAAATGGCAGCAGGGTCACCCAGGGTGAGCAGGTTCCAGCAGGACTTCCTGACTAAGAACAGGCGACGAAGAGGGCAGCGGAGGGGCAGCGGAGGCCACCGGAAACCTCACGGGGAGCAGAGGGACAGTCAGGAAAGTTCTGCGGCGGGACACTGTGGTCAGTCTGCTGCACAGGCCTGCTTTCAAGTGTTGAACAGCCAGGGGGTTCTCCATCGCCCCCCAGGCAGGGGACAGTTGGACATGGAATGAGCGAGACTGAAGAGCTCATGCATGTGCGTGCCGGTGCCGGTAGGGATCACTCAAAGCACCGTGGACGGCAAGAACGACACAGCGATCGGTCTGGGAAGGAGCACACCAGAGTGCCCTTAGAGGCGAGGGTGCCGAGACTTCCTCTGGCCTCCCTTGGGCAAGTTGTCAGGAGAGGGCAGTCCGTGCAGAAGGACATCCAGCTTGGTAAAGCGGAGGGGCAGCGGAAAAAGAGGAAGGCTCTCAAGGAGAGGGACGGACATGGCGGCTGCAACCAGGGGTGCTGGCAGAGGAACCACGGGGAGGGAAGGGCAGTGCAAGGACCGGCAGGGTTTCCTGGGGTTGTGCCTGGGGTCACCAGGGCCGGAACTGACTCCATGGCACCCAACAACAGTTGCGGGGCTGGGGGTGCACTCGAGTTCGGGGGGGTGTTTTCATTCTGACCAACTCACTTCTGAAAAGCAGCTCGAGCCATCCCCAGTCACTGGCGGGACCACCTTGAGGTCAGGCCTGTGACCGTCCGGCCCCCTCTGCAGTGTAATGTCTGTCCCCTACTGTGGCTGCTCGAGGTTTTTTCTATACCACTGTTTCCCAAAGCGGGTGAATACCGCCCCTCGGGGGCGGTACTGGAAAGACGGGGTGCGGGGGTGTTTGCAAAAGCAGGTGCCTCCACTTCAACCTAGATGAAGGGCCATCGCACACATTTTTAATGGCCGGGAAGGGGCACGGAGTCATTTCTTTTCCCCGCTTTTCTTTTCTGTAAAGGGGCGGGCGGTTGCCCACATAATCCTGGGGACCTGTTCTAAGCGCTGAGATATACCGAAGCCCAGTGTCAGTGTCTTTCTTTCTATTCTATCTGTCTGTCTGTCTGTCTATGTATGTATCTATCCATCCATCCATCCATCATCCATCCATCCATCCATCCATCCATCCATCCATCCATCCATCACGCTGATAAATTAGAGCATGTACATTTCTGTTCACACTTCCTGGCCTGGGCTTTCACCTTGTTCTCAGTGAGCGGCCGACCCCATATTCTAAATCACACAGCTGACCATTTGGGAGCCCCGGGGTGGGCCTAGCAAGCTCTTGCCCAAGGTGTGGAGCCTCCGGGCAGCTCCTGGCGACTGAGAGCGGGCTTCTTCCGGTCACACCCACGTGTCTGATTTACGAAAAACAGACCGGCCACTTGGGGAAACTTGAGGAGCAGCAAGCACAGCAAGGGCTGTGACCCAGAAAGCCAAGGGTCCCAGGAGCACCCTGAGCTGGTTTGAGACCCTCCCCCTGCCTCCTGTGCACCCCAGGGCCCGCACTCCCATCTTTGCCCACCAAGTACTCCCGCCCAACCTGGGAGCCAGGGCCCCCAGACTCATTGCCCGTGTCGCCCTTGGGGAAAGCCTCTGTGACACCCCCCAACCCCACAGCCCCCCAGGGCAGGATGAGCCCCTCCTGTCTCAGGCCTCCTCAGATGTCAAAACCAAAGACCACGGTGTGCAGACGAATGGCCCAAGCTGGGTCCCAAGGGGGTCCTTGCCCCCATAGGAGGTGCCCCGCCCTTCTCCCCAGACCTGGTTGTGGCGCCTCCCTGTGAGGTGGCCACCTGGGGAGTCCCAGCAGGCCGGGCCGGGATGGCTGGGCAGGCGGCAGCGAGGGCGGCCCCACCTTGAGGACGTCTTGCTTGCATTTCTCCACCTTGTCCTGCAGCTTCTTCAGCTGCTCGGGGTTGAGCGCCGGGTCGGCCTTGCTGCTGCTCTCCCGGGAGACGGCGAGCTTCTCCTCCTTGCACGCCGTGTGGTACGCCTTCTTCGCCGCCTCCACCTGCGGGGCCACCGCGGTCTCAGCACCCCCTCCTCCAGGCCCAAATCCTCTCTGGGGGCCGCCCCTGCCCCGACCACAGCAAGTGCCCGCCTTGTCCTCTCTCAGGGTGTCCCCACCTGCAGGGCCCCAACCTCTACCCAACAGCAGTTACTGCCTGCACTCTCAAGACAAAGGGGACGGCAGCCAGGGCGGCCGGTGGGGGTGGGGCGGGCCCCCGGAGGCACCCCACCCCCACCCCC